TGCAGCGCGCACTGTCCTTGTCATCCTCGGAGTCCGAATACAGCCGAAGCCCATCCCGACCTCTGTCTGGAGACACTACCGAGGAAGAGCCATCGACGCCCTCCAACAAGAATGATCAAGCTGCTTCGCAACAGGGCAATCCTCCCAGTACCCACGATCACAGGGTGCTTCCGAGTCCTCAATACGGCGGACACTTATCTCAGCCCAGAGATAGCAACGTGCTTACCCTCACATGCCTCGCAGAGTTAGTCCGAGTCACCCCTTACCGTGAAAGCAAAGTCTTTACTAACAGATGATACTTGAAGATTAGACGTGCGGGTGAAGTGAGTTTTACATTTCCTCCAAGCAATACACAAAGGGCTAACATAAGGCCAGATCCCTAGATTGTAAATTGACGGACCAAAATAAGTGTATCGAGGATCTCCGCAGGGACCTGGCAGACCTTCTCCACCGGCTGAGGCTGTCGAGGCGGAAGCAGAGGAGCGGATCAAAAGTGATATGACTGATGCGCCAGTTGGGCCGGAGCAGAAGACGGAGCAGACCCGGCGGTCGCAGCGGGGATAAAATTCGGCTGGCTCAGGGGCCTCTATGGACACTATCTATGCATAGATTCATCAAGAATTCGTCATATGGGCTCTCTCACGCTGACTACACTCTTGCCTTACGACTAGCAGCTGTTGTATTTTTGGACTAGGACCACTCTGGTGCTTTCTCTACGTGTTATACACTACATCTGTCTTCTGCGAATACAGCAAAGGCTTTTCAAATGTACCTTTTATGAATATACCTACCAACCGAATCAGTCGATATTACGTATTACACAGAGGTAAATCTTTGCTCAGTGGCCGATTCTTTATACCAATTCGTCCCTTCGGTAAGTCTTTCCGGTACAGCGGCAACGCGACGAATAACGCAATTGTTTTTAACTTGATATGAAGATGATGGAATTTGAAGAGACATTTTGACACAAATAGCATGGCCCAGGCGAAGGTATGGCACCTGGCTCTGAAACACATCCTACTGATGAGTAATTGGTTTATGAGTAGAAGTGACGCGAATTTGAGAAACGCCCAGAACCTGAACCGAGATAGCGGCTTTCACCCTGCTGGACCTCTCGAGCTTGATCGCTAGCTTTGCCTGAACCAACCACGACCTCTCTCTCATCTGTTGTAGCATGTAATCAACGCGATCGCAAGACGGATCGATAGAAGTGTCAAGCTCTATCTCGAAGTTCCTCCCATCTATCGACGCATGAATCCAAATGAACCCCATCGAATACTCAAAGCAGGCTGGGTCTGCATTCCCCGAGGTCACAAGCGTGTTGAAAAGAGGTCCCATCGTGGTTGACGGAAGGCCAGCGCAAAGGTACCTCAAATATTGACTACTTGCCGTCCGTTTTCCCTTACTGATCATCTCCACCTCATCGGTTGACCGTGGATCGAGAATGACCGAATCTGAGATCCAGTACTCGGTTGACCAATTGTAGAAGAGTGGAAAACTTTTCCCGGCCAGCAAATTCTCAAAACGAAGCATGCTTTCCCGGACTTTCGAAGGTCTTTTCCATTCGGGTAGCCCAAGGAGAATGATCTTCATATCTGTCAGGTTTTCTGTATGCAGAAATCCCACCTGATAATCCTCCGGCTTCAGATTCGTCAGGTAGGCCGGAGGCTTCACGACAAAACTTCCATTCTGCATGGAAACAAATTTGCCTGCCCTGTCAGGTCTGTTGGAAGGGTGATTCTGTGGCATGAAGGTGGACTGCAAGCTAGTGTTGATGCTCTGGCCATAGAGCTTCGACTGCTCCCATTTCCAGACTAGCTCCTCGGTTTTCGAATATAGGAAAGGAAACCTGTTCACAAAAACTTCAGAGGAGCTATGCGCCGGAGGTTGAGGCTTGTCTTTGACAGGATTAGCTTTTTGGTTTGCCATAGCCGGAATCAGATATCACATACCAATGGGGTTTTTACGGAAGCGACTGAAGTCGAGCTTTGAGTGTCTGTACGATGGTTTGCCATCGAGATCCATTTTTTCGTAGAGCAATGCGGCGAAGCTTGGATAGACAAGTTGGCAATCCACAGGCTTGTACAGGGGGTGATGTAGTGTAAAAAATAAACCAAGACACTTATATGCAAGGTGATGGCGAGACAAAAACATTCACACCGAGCTATCCAGTATACAATAACGGTCGCAAGTTTTCCAATTAGATTTCGAAATCGGATGATGGTGGATCATAGTTCAGATCATTCAGTGATGATTCGCCTAACACTATGTCGTTGAGATTTGAACTGATTCTACCTGTGAAACAACTCATGATACACAAGCAAAAGTCTCAGCCTTTCTCAACTCCGGCAGAGAGGCGAAAATTCGCAACGTTGATGATTGTGGAAGCACGTCCTCAGCCTCGCCACAGAAGAACCTTTTTGGGAACTGTCTAGGCTGCATAGGGCTACTTATAGCCATGGAGCCAGCTATGCTATCAATTCAATTTCGGTACAGTACTTTTTACCACGGCGAGCATGCATGATTCTTTTCCGGTAGCTTTACCGCAGCCTACTATCTAGGTCATGATGCGATAAAACATCTTTGAAGTGGTCCTTCCTATTCGAATGAGGAGACTAGATTTTTTTTCTCGTATCCGATCATCAAGTCAATATGCCAGCCCTTCAGGCCATCCGTTGTGCCATAGGTCCGACAGAAACATAAAAGACATTAATATACAATTCTTCTCGGCGGCCACCCCGACGAATTTCCTGCCACGCTTTGACATGAAACATTTCCGTGACCACGATGCGATCGGGCTTTGATTGCATGATTTCAGGGATCTTGTTGATATCTTATTCTAGATCTCGGTTCAGATCTTTGCTGTAGAACAAAATTGCAGAGGTGGTGGCCAAATCACGAATGGTGCAGTTAGCAAATGGCTTAATCCCCCAAACCAGACAGATTCTGGAAAGAAGGAGCGGATCTAAATGTAAGAATGCATGCGTGTAATATTCAATCACCTCTGCTCTGTTTTTGACATCAATTCTTTGGGGAAGTACCGCCGCAACCCTGACTTCTTCGTTCTGGAACGCCCTTTGAAGGCTTGTGAGGATGGACTGCAGCTGTCCCATCGAGAGGTCAGGTGAGAATATTGGTGACATTCTCAGATGCTCCAGCATGGCAGAACAGAACAGCTCGTCACGTAACCAGATCTCTTTCGACTCGTAGCCCCGTATGTGCAGAGCGTCAATACCCATGAAAGCGTAGCATATTAGAGCGATACTGGCTCCCACACCAAATGGTCTGTAAGGAAAACAAGGTTGTTCGAAGCACGTTTGAGCAAAGCTAGACTCTTGCGATGAAAATTGTCCAAGAAGGAACATAATATATCGGATCTGCATTTCCAAGTCTTCGTAGGACATAGTATGCAAGCCCTGAGATTCGCATAAAGCGTCGCGGATATCACTGAGCCAGGACTGCAACTGACTGTACTGCAAGACGAAACTCTTCTCCCATTCATAGTCACTCCGGTATATTATGGCCCACAAGGAGCCTTCATTTCCAGGGAGCATTGCAGTAATGAATAAGTAGTTTAGAACTAGTAAGAGCTGATGAAAGGGGTGGCGGCTTTCTGCTGAAAGAGTTCGATTTGTTGGAACTTGTGTGCGAAGTCGAGGTGGCAAGGAAACCTGAAATATTGTTAGCCGTGAACGCTTAGGTACAACGAGACTGCAGAATTTCTTGGAAGTGCCATATCAAAGTATGACTGCGTTGCACAAGGGCCGAAAGAGCTCGGGCGAGAGCTCGGGCGCTCCTCAGTATCGCCTGTAGTGATGGGAAAGCGACCGACAAGACCGGGAGATGACTTCTGCGATGTCACCACTTCGCCCTCGTTTGTCCAATCTTCTATCAGGCCGTTGCTGGTTTGGAAGTTTCCGGGAAATAAGACGTCATTGGTAGATGGAGATTGGCATTCATGCCCCAATTGATTGGCAAATTGCCCGGTCTCTTTTTGTACATCGATCGTCTTGTCATTCCACTCATGATAATGCGTCTGCTCGACCTCGAAGACAGCCTTTTGCCGCTTCGAGTTTCTTGGCTGGGTTGGCGGCATTGTCTTGTACCCCAACGCCAAAGGGACCCGTTCTTCATACAAACATAGATCCGGTTGCCCACGTTCACAGCAAGTCTGACAGGCGGGTATATCTCTACTGCATCCTTTTTTGGAATTGCGACAGGGGATGCAGGGCCGCCGTAAGTTCCTCGAGCATGAGGCTGCCATTCCATGAGGCTCTGTCATGACTTCGGAAATAATTTAAAGGAACTGGACTGATAGCAGATGTATTCATTTGGCTTGATCAAAAAGGCGAAGCAATGTGTAATAAGAGCGGTTGAGATAGTTCGTAGCTTGAGGATATCTGATTTGAATGAAACTTTTATAGGGGATGAGATGCTATCGAAGCTACACTGAATCTACTTTAAATATGCTAACAACCGTGGCCATGATATTTTTCACGCGGAATTTCTTTCACATTTTTCAAGGCTTTGGTGGCAAGCTGTACGGCTCCTGAAGTGGCAAGTAGAGAGTCCTTCCGGAATACCGGATCAGATACTATTTTAAAATACATGGTATTACCTAGGGCTGGGCGCTGGCATTCATAATGCCTTGGAATCTCTTGTCAACGTATTTTTCTCTGGGCGCAACTAGCATGTGGTCTGGAGACACACCGGTTGTGATATACTGAAGAGAATGCAACGATCCCGGGGAATATCTCTCGCGTTCCTGGGAGTGAAAAGTGCCCTGGGCCCTCAATGCTGCCTTTGACATCAGAGACTAGACCCCTGGATTGACCGAAGAGATCCCAGGAGCCCTGTTCTAATACACATTCAAGGCTGCAGACGCTCTAGTCGAATGGGCTGGGCCGAGCACTGGAGCCCTTCATAAAGCTGCCCTCGAATCTCTTGGCTTTCCGCAAGTTTCTCTTAAGTTTACGCCCTCTCAACCCTTTTTTTACATCATGGTTCGTCAAGTGGTCTCACGAAATATTGCCCATGGGAAACTAAAAAAAGAATCAATAGTCTCAAAAGCGACATATCCGAGACTTGCCTCAAGAGATAGTGCTGATGATTGCCGCATACCTCCATGGTTGCGCAAAATTCGCTCTTGCAAGATCCTGCAGAGCGCTGTACCACCTTCTACGAACGGTAATTCTCCAATTCAACATCGAATATCAGAACAGCAATCTTCTTGGCCTAGCCGCCAAAGATGACAATGTTGATCTCACGCCCATGTTGCTTCATCACGGAGTAAACGTCAATGCCTTCTTTCGTGCGAGAACCCCGGTCATGAGGGCTCTCAAATACTGTTCATCTGCAGTTCTCAAGCTCCTGCTGGAAACTCCGAGGCTAGATATCAATATCCAAAACCGAGAGCAGGAAAGCGCCTTATGGTTTGCAGTTACGTATGGATCATCTTCGACGCTGCGGGCTCTCTTGGAACTGTCCGGCTGCGCAGTCAACACAGCAAAGAAGACGGTAGCTATGATCCCGCCAAGTGAGAACAGGGCGGTCCGTCGTACCTACTGTTTCCGCATCTATATGAGAATGTTTTGTTCCCCTCAATGATTAAGTACGGCTTCAATATCCGTCTAAACTTTACCAGGGTGCTTCAAGCTTTTTGTACAGTTCGTGGCCTAGTAAAATTAAATGTAGATCACGCTATAGCCCTTTAAAATTGTTATGTAAACACATATCTGCGAATAATAATCTACTATCCTCTTCAGAGCTATATTTACAAAGCGGGAGGTCAGTACTCTAATTTGCCTTTTCGCAAGTGAAGAGGAAGGGACTTTTGCATAATTAGCCTGTGAAATTGGAAGAGAAAAAAGATCAATTGTGATAATTAGTCTAGTTTCATAGAATGTTGAGATATGGTCATCATAAATAAAGCTGGCCTGAAAACACATCAAAGTTGTGACTAGAGGCAGCCAACTCAAGCTGTATAGTGCTGATCGTGCCCCACTGCTTTCCTTTTGATCGTAACCGATATTGAGTGAGTTATTTTGGAACCCTACTGTCCTAATCCAAGTAGGGGTATGACTAGTTTTTACCAAAATATCTGAACGGTAAGAGTCGACAACGCCGCCGAAAGATATTTTGATTGCGCCTCTCACAGACCCTAGCCCATTTGTTGCATTTGTTATATTCTGTAAAGGGAATGGAATAGCGTAAAAGTTACCAGATAACGTAAAGTTTGCTGTCTGGGCATCGAAAGTTGCTTCTACTGTCGCTCTTGTCACATTTGAGTTGATGTCGAGTGGGTCCTCATTGCCGACTAGGACGATTTGAAAAGTTTTCGACTCTTGGTGACTATTGCATGGTTCCATGTCTAACGTAAAATTGTGAAGATTGCCAAAGACATCGTTATTGTATCCATTTGCTGACCCCGTAAGGTTGAATCGTCCCGCTTGGGTCGATGTCGAGGTCATATTGAGGTTATCCTCTACTTTATCATCGGACGGCAGTAACGTCCACCTAGAGAGTTCCAAATTAGTGGGAATTATTTACTTTATTCTTTATTTTTTTTTCCACTCACGGAGCAGACTCGAAAATCCATTTTAATGACTCCAACCCGCCATAATATCGCTCTCGCTCCAAGGTAGCTTCAGGTGAAGGGCCATATGAAGGAACGGAAGAACCAAATGAAAGAGACGAAAAATTGAAACCGGGTTTCCAGAGAGTCAAAAGCACATTTACTGGGTTGGACCCATTGTTTTGAGGGCTGCGCTCAGTGATGGCGAGAAAAGATTCGAATTGTGATGTGTATGTTTGGTTCATAATTTGATTGCATGATTTATGGCTCGAATCGTTTTCAACAAATTCCGGCGTAAGCTCGATAGTTGTCGTTGCATTGTAGTATCTTTAAACAGTCAGGACAAAAGTTGAATTGCAGAGGGGAGAAGAACTGACGATCCAACCCACGAATAAAGCTCCCTTGTAAGTCCTGTGACGTTTCTAGGGCGAAAAGGGAACGAAGAATTATAATTCGGATCTGTCGTTGCAAGGGCCGCTAAAGCTAAACCTAGAAGAAGCAGGACAGTCTTCATCCTGGTGCAAGAGTGAAATATCAACGTTTGCTCCCGCCCTAATTTATGGGCAGATTCCAGCTATGTAATAATAAAGCGAAAGGATTAAGCTTCTGTCCCCACGAAACCCCTGATTTCAGGGTTACATCTGGGAAATGTTCTAGTCCAATCAACAGGATTTGTGGAGTAAATCCCTTTTCACGTCAGCACTAAAAGCTTTGACCCCCCCTTGGCGTCAGGCGGCCACTCGTATCTTGTGCAAGCTCATCCCGGCGTAATAGAAGCCTGAACGTCGAAGTTAGTATTCGGTGATTTCATTTCGTTGCTAGCAAAGAAACAAGACCAACAATACGAACTGTGGGAAGTACGACTACACATTCTAAGGAAGCAGACAAGGAAAAGAAGCCTGCAAAGGACGGATGGTACTTGCAGGCACAGCTTCAAGACTACGGGCGACCAGCTATTTTTTATATGGATGAGGCTTATTCCATGGAATGCAGTCTTCAACTAGCTCAATGGTGCGCTAGTGGAGAGTAGGCAGATATGAGAGACATGAAGGGCGGCTAACATTGGGAATGAGAAGACGGGGGGCGCAGCCTTTCAATACATTCATGGAAAAATTATCTGTCCCCGCATGTTTTGGCGTGATCACGTGATAGCATAATCTCAAGTTCTCAACTGTCAATAAGGGACAACCTTCCGAACGACCTCTCTGTTTCCAGTCACCTTCCCTCCTGCCTTCCTATGGCGTTCCTTATTCTCGCCGCTCACGCTTGATATTATTAAAGAGAGCACCTCGACTAGGTTGCGGGACTTCAGATTGGCGGAGAAGCCCACTTACCAACTGCAATACCCGTCAGAATTCCCGACCGGCCAAGGTCGAATCACGGTCGCCATGGCATAGTCAAACGCGCTCGACATCAGGAACAATTCGCGAAAGGACAGTGGAAATTGACTCGTCGCCACGCTTGTTCTTTGTGCCCCCTGAAAGTTTGCGAAGCAGGTTCTAATCGACGTGAGTCTCCTCAGTTTCTTATTGAAGATTCCGTTCGCGAATACCGAGTATTGAAGACCCTCCGTCAAATACCTTCAAAGTTGGTTGATCACCCCCGCGTCTCTGAGCTCAACTCTAGCGGTCGGACTTTCTGGGTCAAATCGCCGCGCCTTTACTGGGTGCCCCTCTTATTGCGAGTCAAGGCCCAGGACTTGGATCTTGGTTCGCTGCTTGAATTACAGCGAGCCCTTCAGGATTACACGAAACTCTTATCTAAGAAGGGTGCCGCATATCAAATCAAGCCGGAGTACCTTTGTCCAATCAAAATGGCGCATGGTCACTGGAAATTGTATCTGGGTGGCTGGATGGAAGCTGCTTTCTCTTCGGACGAATCCCAGGCACAGTCTGAAGAATGGCAAAAATGCGAAGAGGTGCAGATTAGCGAAATAACGCGGATTTTTGCGGAAGCGCGCGCGATGATACAGGCTCAAACGCAATGGTCATCATCACAAAGTCGACGGCTAATGGCGTCCATGAATTGTTCGGCGCTCATGCCGTATTGGCGTTTTTGATTTTTGATACACACGCACAATTCATTAACGCCCGGCGGCTGAGCCGAAAGGGCAACTATCACTAATCTACCAGTACATGCATGTTTGGGTATACGCCGTGTCTCCTTGGAGCCCATACAGTGTTCCCTTCCGTATTTGTCATTTCCGCTTCCAATCTCATAGCTGGTCCCTGTGGGTAAGTATTGGTTAGTAGACTGGCTTGAAGGCGCTTCTTCAAGTGTTCAATATCCTATCCTCGGCAGTTGAAGCGCGTCTACCGTCTGTCACAAGGTGTTGGGGGTTAGTAAGAAGAGGTATTCTATCCATTTGTCGGCAAGCCTAGGTGGCCTCGAGTCGGCCCGTAGCGATCGCAAATCGTATTGAGGCTCGCACGGCTTCCAAATTCGGCTTCCACTTTTGATCATCGGAGGGTGATTTCCCTCCCAAGAAGAAGGACATGTTACTTCGGTGAGTGTGGGTACATTGTAGCATTTCTGTCCGGTGTGCGGTCCATTTCCGACATCGAAAGAGAAAGTGGTCCACAGTTTCTCTTGCTTGTCCACATGCGCATTGATCGGTCTCGGCGGCATTGATCCGAAAGAGATATCCATTGAGTCTTGCCATGCCCGTGCGGAGCTGGGCCAACACGCTCGCTTCTTTCCACGATAATTGTTCATACAGCTGTCGCGTGTGTTTCCCTGGAAGTGCTGTATCTACTCGCTGGGAGTGTCTGCCTACGTTCTCGGGCAACTCGCTATTGGGGACTGCTTGGGCATGCGCAATCTTCAGAGTCGTCGATTTCATTTTGGGGACCTGTACTTGCGAGATAGCATTTTCTTGCGTCGCGGCTCTCGCGTGCTCTTTCGCCATCCCTAGTAGTTTGTTGTCTTCGCTAGTGGGGACCCACCGGACGCTGATCTGATTTCCATGCCTCTGCAATCTGCTCATCAGCTTGTAGCTTTGGCAGACAAATTCCTGACCCGACTGTTGTCGCGGGTTCTTCAACGTAAGAGCCGCCGCTTTGTTGCTCGTGATCAGTGTGATCCTAAAGTCTTTCAATCCCACGAGTGTCTTCAGTGTATGCGCCACTGCCGCCAGCTCCGCGGAAAATGGATTTTGCTCTGTTCTCGCGCTCAACGTGACGGACAAGGTCTTCAGTCTCACTTTGCGATAGCGTGGTGGTTGTTTCTCGATCGCCACACCAAACCCAACCAGCTCATTCTGCGCCGAGCTGCTGAACGCAATCTGCATTGACCCGCCTGGTACAGTTGACCCCTCTGAGATGGGCTCATCAGTCTGCACGCGTGCTTCCCATGGTGCCAGTGTAAACGGGTGGATGGTTTCCAGTGATTCCATGTCGATGTTTTTCAGCGCCTCCGCTACTTGATATAGTGGTGAGCGGTGGTATCTCCTGAACTTCCGGATCCGATCTGTGTTTCTGCGAAGAGGATTGGTCTCTGGTAGTGTGTGGAGGTCTGCCCACATCTTCACGGCTCGTCTCCAGAGACGGTGTTGTGCCGTGGCAATGTGGGCCTCGGCCTCCGCTACGCTGGTCGCAACTGTGAGGAATGTCCCCACAATTGCTTGTGCTCCTACCCTTTGCACTCGGTTGATCGGTCCGATGTTCTTATTCTTGAATGCGTGCATCCAGACATTTGACGCATAGTCCACCACCGGAGCCACGGTCGCTGTGAAGAGCTGCCGTGCTGTCGCTGGGGAGAGGCCTCGGAGCCGTCGTAGTTCCATCGCGGCCTCCAGGCCCTTAGATGCTGCCCTTGCAATATGCTCCTTGTACAAGTACTGATTTGTATTTCTAAGCTAAGCAAGCCTGATAATACATTGTAGAGGTGGGAGCATGTCTACCTACATAGACCCTCCACCTTGCGTCCCCTTCGATCCTTTTCCGCATCCTTCACGGGGCATAGCCGGTTCCGCAAGTCAATACCAGTTTGCACCTTAAGCCTACTTCCATAGCCGCCCTAAAGACTCCATCCTCGATAGCCATCTTCAGAATCCTATTCTCTCAGTAGACCGACACGCGCGTCCGTCCTCTCGAGCCATATAGAAAGTGTCGTATCTGCGGTCCGCCCACCCAGTCTTCCGTCGCTTCCATTATATGCTGCGCCCCACAGGTTGTCAAATCTGTTTCGCGCTACCTTGCAAGATCTCTCTAACAAGGCCGACCGTGTCTCGCAGGAGTTCGCCCACTTGTATCCTCTCTGTACCCTGAACAGCCAAGCAACACAATGTTGTAACTCCCACTAACCAAAGTACCTCGTCGTACGTCCCGAAACTGGTGCAACTGCCTACACTCTTTCGCTGATTTTTTAGCCCCTCTGCCAAGGAATGCTAGTCTATATTGGGAATTATTCCGACAGTTGTATAGGTATTTCCTCGTACGAAGGTTACATGATAATTTCAAGCATGTATTAGGATGTAAATTTCAATACATGTGACACCTTCATGTCCCTCATCCAGAGCAGCTTTCCTCGGGAAGCACACTTGACAATCAATCACAAGTGGTCCAACCAAAGATAGCGCTAAACCTAGCTCCTTCCAGGCATGAGCTTATTCATGATATGATCCACAGTGGCGAATTATCTATAACTGAGGCCGCTGGTTGCAACAAGAGCACTATTTCAAGAATCTCTGCCAATATAAGAATGTTTGGCAGCGTCAAAGCACCGCCAAATAAAGGTGGAAGACCCCGTAGTATCACTCCATTGATGCTCGAGGCTTTGTGCGACCATCTGATTGAAAAGCCTGCCCTATATCTGGAAGAGATGGTGGTTTTTCCGTGGGACGAATTCGCTCTTCAAGCAACTAAATCGAGCGTTAGTCGTGCCCTTGAGTCCAAAGGCTGGTCAAAAAAGAATATAGCAATAAAATTAGTCATCGTTATGATACCGTAATTTCTCATAGAATCTTATTGGAATTGGCCTGCGGTTTTGGCGATCTGGCATGATTGCCGGCCTGTATTTCCTCCATTTCCACCAGTCAGACGCCTCTCATCCCCTTCAAGACCGGACTTGAGTGAGGCATCCTCAAACATATTTTCCCCGCCGCAAATGCTCTGGGACCTCTTCTCGCTGAAGATTTCGCCCAAACGAACATCAGTTTTGTGGTATCTCGATCCGGATAGCAAGAGAAATGTCTGTCACCGAGATCAGCTGCATGGGTGTAAAGCCTTTCCTCGACGTCATGAACGAAGGCACTCCTGAGGGTCAGGTTCTTTTGAAAGCCTGGAACACCATCATCGCGGCTCCTGAAGGTCCACGCCGAATTTATTGGGGTCTTGAGATGGAGGATTTAACCAAGATCTGGACATTCTTCGACTGGAACTCGATCGAGGATCACGAGAAATTCGCGGCCTCGTGAGTAGCAGTACTGCTTGAAATTGAAGTATTGAGGCTAATAAACGACTTAGTTTCGGCGGAGAAGCAGTGAAAGACCTACCGAGTATTTTGAGCTACGGTCTATTTACGAAGCATATAGTTTTCAATCCGTCTCCCCCCAATCCCTTCGATATAAGACCACTGAGGTCATCATTACTTACTTTCCATCGAGTATCTCCAAAACCCAGAGAAATGGACGGGTCCTGGAGATCCAAAGCCTCATTGAGAGGAACAAGAATTCTTGGAATCAAGAACTTGCGGTCAGCTACGGTTGGGGTGTGGAAAACGACTTTCCTTTAATGGGTGGTGGTGAAGGTCAAACAGCGTCTGTGCTTGTGATCTTGATCGGCTCGAACGAGGATGTCACTCAAATGTACTCTGGGACGACTGCTTCTGAGAATATTATGGAGTTGATCCAGACCATGGAGGGGCTGATAGAGTCTACTAGGCATCACCTAGTCGTTCGCAGTCTCGGAAAGGGGCTATGAAGCATCTTACTCATCTATGTCAACAAGCCCTTGGTTGACCAGAGGCTGGACACAACCCACTTTGGGCGATTGATAGCTCAATTCTCCGAGATAATTATGTGATGTGTTAATTTGTCCAAACTAACACAAAATTTCAATTTGAAAGAGACAGCATAACAGCCTCTACGCGGTCAATAATGTGTCCTTCTTCTTTGTCTAACCGGATATATTTGGTCTACAAATTCAACAACGGATAAGTTTTGACCGAATACGGACCAAAAGGGTCCAATTCCGCCACCGGCGAATTTGTTATACCCGCTTCCGCCTACGGCGATCTAGGCCAACCCATCAGTGGGTCTTCGGAAAAGAAAGCGAGTGTGTGTCTGGGGGTATGTAGTCTGTTTTCAAAAAACCCCTGTACACAATCCAACAGGGTATACAGAAAATTCGCTGTTACATTTTTGTTGAGAGTCATCTTTCCAACCCTCAATCAGAGGGAACTTGCGAGACACTGGACACCCAGATCCCTGGAAGACTCTTTCGTATAACCCCATCCCCAGTTAACGCAATCATTGAGTTCATTTTGACCTCAATCCTTCCAGATTCCCCGTGAATAATTACACAATTAGCTAATCCATTGTGGGGTCACCGTTCGATTAAATAGGCAGAGACGTGGTTATAATGAGAATACTGGTGATGAGAAAACTTGTTTCGGGCTGGTACGACGCCACCTACGTCATACCCCGTACTTTCCCAGGACAATAGTATGGTCTCTGACCCGCTTGGTTTGCCGCAAATTTCCTTTTTTGAGTCTTGAGTCTTTCCATCTCAGCCCGGGTACGTCCGTTTGAAGAGATCTTTTATTTCTGGTCACACTATTAAAGTCCGCACCGCAAATTAGCTAACATTGGGATTCACAATAGATGTTCTCAGAGTTATCGAGATTCACATGAAGCAATAACCGCAACAGCCACCAAAGTGACTCATGTGCTAGCGTTCCTAGCCAAAGCCAGTATGAACACCACTTGCTCAATCAATTGTCGCCGGTGTCTAGAGGATTACAGTCAAGAAATACTCGCACATACCCAGTTCCAGATCTCAGGACTGGTTGGTCTAGATGAGCTGCCCAGAATAGCCAGTAAGGACGCAGACCTTGTATCCTCTGGTGATGTGCCACTCCCTGGCTCTACGAAAACAGACGTGATGGAAGAAGCCAGGAATTAGTAATGGTGCAGGGTTTTCCCAGTTTTGAGCTATATAGCTTCTGTTCTACGAACCCAATATGGTGCTTAATGTATCAGTGCACCTTGTCAAATGCGAAATTATGTAAATTCTGTTCTTCTAAGATCAGTATCATATATTGATGCCCTTACTTTACGCCATAATACCGCATTGCTACATGGCCCCATTGACCTTTTAATATGCTGTTATTAATTATAATAATGACCATCTTTTGAATATTCTTGTCACTCAATACTTCCCACAATTGGCAGTGATATGTATACGAGGCTGGCCAGGGTGTTTCTCCACTTCTTGCATATTAGTAAATAGTCTGGGATTTATGTGGCTAGGTTCGACCACCATTTCAATACATTAAATCTGCTCCATCTCTGAGACATTGTTAGTGAATGATTTTGATTCATACTATGGAAGATAGAATCGTTGACGGAGTAGGTAGCTTGTTGTGCATGATTATATTAACTATCGAACTGGCGGTGCTATAAGAAAGTTGATTGCCATGCCATAAGGGGCTTGATACAGGTCTTTGCTGTACCAGCATGTTGGGAAACGTCTTTAGAGCGAGCTTTACTTGTTTTTTTGTGGGCAGTATGATCGCCAAATGAATTAGAGTTCACGAATCCATGCGAAGTGTTAATTGCAGTATGCTAGTGTAGGTTGTTCTCTAATCACAGTATATAAATCTAAGCTAAATGGATATTTTCGTTGCAAGTGACTTCTTTGCGTCGTTTCACCCAAAGGCCGATGTCGCGAACGAACCGCCTGGCGGCACCTACTTTCACGCCGTGCTTAACGAAAAAACCTGGGTCTTGATCCTCATAAATCTGCATGAGGTCGAGACAATTTTCGAGGGTCACATCGCGTGCTTTGTTGATGTTTTCCCTGAAAGCCTCGTTGCTCACCCGCGATTGCTGCCATTCAGTATACTCGGCCACAGCGACATCTAGCAGGCCGTCGATTATGATTGGTTCAATACAGCCGGGCCCGGTGGGCATAGCATCATTAAAAGGAGGCTGTATCAATTGTTGAGATGATCCAGACGGGAGGACATTTATATTGATTGGAGGACACACTGAACCTGTTGTGGAGTTCTCCGCAGCTTCCTTCTTTTTGTCCAGCCGCTGGTTCTCTTCGGCATAGAGCTGCTCGCGAACACTGTCAGGGACATCAGCGTGGGTCTCGAGAACCCCACCTTGCTCCACATATTTGACGAGGGCCTTCAGATGGTGTGTCTTCAATCTATGGTGCCTTTTTCCCTCTGGATCTTGCCAGCAGTATTGTCCTTTGTGGCGACATGGAGGCCCGGGACATCGCATAACACGATACACATCGCGCCAGACGGAATATTGGCTGGAGACCTGCTCGGCGTCAATCTGAGCGTCTCGGTTAGCGAGAATCCGTGTAGTCACCGATGACTTTCCTCGCTTGTCCGTTCTAGAAGGAAGAGGTCCACTGTCGTCTATGTAGTTGATCGATATCTGTAGCCGGATCTTCTTGCCACGACAGAATAGATAGGCCCATGCTAGCAGCTGTTTCTCCACCGCTGTCCAATCAACACTAGTACCTTCAAAGTGTTTGTCAATGTTCCGTTGGGAGTTCACGGATAACACCATATTGGTATCATCTAGTCTCACTCGTCGGCCACGGGCTACCTTGCGTCGTAGAATATTACTAGCTTCCTCTTTTATCTGTTCCCAGTAGGATCTAGGTGGTTGAATAAGGTCATGTTTTGTATCCTTGACCACAACTCGATTGTTCAATTTAACCCTCCACTCAATCTGATAGTGGATACCGTCCGGAGATTGTTCATCCCATGCACTTCCATCTGCACGTTCAACCACAGGATCAAAACTATGCTGGCCGGATAGATGTTGATGCCAGGAAGGTGAACATTCACTAACTATATCCTCGGGATCGGGTGAAGGGCAGATTACTGATGGCGTCCATTCGCGGTCTGGGTGACCAGGGGTGGGGGCATACGAGGGAGTAGGTTCCCATAGAACAGGCAGTTCAGATCGGTAGGCATCATAATCATCATCATCATCATCGTTAAAAGGAATGTGAGTCATCCCCCGAAGGCAGTAGATGCCACTGAGGATTCTATTAACATGATTGTGTGTCAGCTTCCAACAAATGTGATCCAGGGCGTGAAGAAGAGAGGGCTGTGGCTGACAGGCTGATTATTATGATAAACGGGTTCATGGGTAGTCTGTAAGGACAGTAAGCAAGTAATGCAAGCCACTATTTGCAGGTCGGGTGCCGAGTAAGCCCCCCCAGACCGACTTGGACATAGGAGGAGAAGGGAAGTGACAGATCGCCAGATTCTCGAGGAACTCCCAAACTCTAGTGTTTGACTTGTTTGCATTTCCATGGAAAATTCTAGTTTCCTTGGATCGCCAGTACAGTTACGAGACGAGGCACCATATTTTAATGAAAGTAAATCACGGGTTTCGCTACACCAGTAAGAAAATAACTCTCTGCGCTGTTGATGTACCATTGACTGACAACGAGGCCATTGATCGGGATGTATTTGGTACCCTTTGCGGAGTGGAACCATTACCCGATGCGCAAAATTGCTTAACACCCTGTCTTTCTCTCACCATGCCACTTTTCAATCTGTTCAACAACCTGGGCATTTGCGCTCTCTAGGTTGAAGCTCTGTCGATGTGCGGTGTACGATGCCGAACCGAGGCTTGATTAAATTCGTGTTGTTTCCTAGCTTGTTTAACCACTCGATATTGGCTCGCGCCAATACAACTGACTCGGGATCCTTGAATAGAATCACATAGTCGGTTCTAGTGGTGCCAATTCCGGCGAGCATCGTGAGTGGCGATCGACTAGTGCCAAAAAGTCCTGACGAAGATTACCTAGTATGACATTGTCTGGCCGCTCCTGAAGGGGCCACTCTTCGGAGAATTTCTGGGAAGCCCGATCCGGTTATATGGGATTGAGCTGGCGGCTTAATATCGCTGGAGCTGCTCTCGAAGCTGGGTAGCCTCATATCATTGTCTGGTAAAATTAGCGCAACAGACGTGATTTCTTCGGTCTCTGGCGCTTCGGCTTTTTGCATGGGTGCAGGATTTTCCGTAAAGTCACTACGAACACAGGCGCATTCCAAATTTTCCAATGTAATTGCTTTTGTATCGGGTTGAACTGCATATGGCGGAACGTAGATGTTGGATGGACTCGCCTTGCAGGGTAGAAGAGTGACGGGTTTTTGGATCATCAGGAGCTGGAAAGCGTTCTGCTTTCTTTTTGCTGTCTCATCCCTAGCTTCCTTGGAAAGAGACAGGACGATCTGTGCGAGAGTTACCGATACCGTTCAAATTTCTCCAAACAAGCACAGAGGGCAACTGAGCAGGTTTCGCGGCTCCTTACCTGAATCCAGTGGTTCACATCAGGCTTACCTGCTTTACTACTTGTATGAAGCCGTTGCCACTGCGCTCTTTCTTTCAATTCAGAGCATCTGGGCAGTTGCACCTCCAATTCAATCTCACGTGTTTCCAACATTGGCCCGAGCAGACTCGGAGTTTGCGTATACGCGGGCCGTATTATGTCCTGATCTGAAGTGATTCGAATTCCGCTGCCAGGATATGTGCTTTGACATTCAATTCCTGCCAGTTTTTTGAACAGAAGCACTTTCCTTTTGCCTAATTGTGATATACGAGTTTCCCGTCCCGTTTCCCAGTACTGCATGTGCTGAGATACATAAACTTCAAGCCAGCAACATCTCAGGTCGATGAAAGGAGTCAGTTTCAGCCTTATTGGTATCCGCGAGCCAAGGCGGAAGCTTCTGCCGAAGATGCAAACATCATAGTGGAGCTGCTCGCGCCAGTCCTTAGAGATAATTATTGGCTCAGTAAGTTCTAGTGAGGTTTCTGAAGGTAATCGAAGAAGCGGGATGTCCTGTTGCGAACGCATTTTGGAACGGAATATTCCAGGGGATTCGACTTTGGCTTCGAGGTAGTAACGGATAGACATGAGGTCAGTGCTGATCGTTTCAGGAAGAGAGTCGTGCAAGAGAAACTCGAAGGGGTAGGTATGATTGCCAGCAGGTAAAATCGTATAGTGGCCTTTCAGATGACTATTATTGTTATGTCGGGGGCTTTCGCTATCAGCGCCTAAAAGCTCAGAATGATCTAAGTTACCTTGATTATACTTGGGCGGGGAGAATTGCTCGACCCACAATGCTGGAGCGCTGCTTTTGACAATTCGACCAGCCTCTTTAGCCGCTAAAGATTCGTCGAACAAGCTGTAATAGCTCCTATCCGGGAATGTCGCATGCCCGTCCTCGAAGAAGGTAATACCAGACGTGATGAGATCCTCTTTTTTGATACTCTCTAGGGAACGAATAGATCATGAGTTAGCCGCGTGAAAAAAAGGCTGTTGGTGCCGCCCTAGCGCCAAAGTCGGATAAAAGACGTACCCCCCAACGGGTGGATCCTAGCAAGACCATAAAAGAAGACGCAAATGCTCTTGATTTTGGTCGGTTGGGTGACTTTAAGATGAAGATAACCCCGAGAGACAACCGGCTTGTTCTTGGAATGGCGACCGGGGTTGCCGTCTTCTTGCAAATATATGACAGGCTCGAGCAGTATGAAGCAGAGTTGAATTCCTCCTCGAATACCCACAACATGCCTCGAGGAACGGCAGTTGCTAAATGGAGGGTCTAGAGACTCCATCACGGACTGCGACCAAATCAGACAGATTCCTATAATATCCGAAAACAGCCACCACTTCAGTTCTAGTAGAACAGGCGACTGATAGTTCTGGACCGAATATATCTCGTAGGTGACAATGATACTGTGGGCACTTTAGCTTTCACAGTGGTTAACAATTCCGCTATTTATGGTGTTACGAAATTTGATGGTACGTGTGCTGGACAGTTAATGATAAAATACTTCGTAACGACTTTCAGTCTTTCTCGGCCGTCGGTGCGGGATTAAAGAATACTCATTCCGAAGCCATAGATCGACGAGCCTCATTGGACCATCTCAAGGTGGCAAATTATTCGAGGTTCAAGCGATGTGTTCTCCGTCTCATCCACTAGGATTTCGAAAGGCCTGGGCCAAGCTTGCCCTATGGCACAGCGAAATATGACCGGGGGGCGATCCAAACTGTTGGACGGCAAAATCATCAGACAATCGGACGAATCTAACTCCCGGGCATCTTTCGAATTACGAAAGCCAAAAGATCCACCCATGTTCATTCTTACACCGAAAAACTAGACCAGGTTATTCGAAGAGAGTGGCCTAGAGTTATCGCTCCTATTTCTAGGAGTTTCGCCTTGCGCCACATTCAGCATGTGGGCATAGGGAACGCTAACTGTTTGCCATTTACCCATATCAACGCGAACTTCAGCCAGGGGCTGTGTAATTCAGTGCGGGGGACCTTGGCGAGACGTCAGCGGAGTAGTTAGGAGTCCCGTGATTTTGTGCACCGATTCAGGACCTACACCCATCAGGCGAATGCCTCACGGTATACCTGGATGCTGACGTCCGATGGCTGGCCGCTGAGAAGAGATACAACGCGGGTTGTCCGGCCGTTGAGTTCGATTCGCTTTTCTGCACCAGTGGCTAAGAGAACATTGATTAACTGACATTTTTGTGATGATGCGCTATGTCAGCTATTTCAAGGACAACAGATGGTCGTAGAGGCATCACATTGTGAAGAGCAAGGAGGGAAACGTATGGTTATCGGATACGGTCACTGTAGGAACCGAGAGACCCGACCGCGATAACTGCGTCGCGGATGCAGGTCTGGACCGGCTCTGGACCGGCCTAACATTTGGCTAGCAAAATTGAAAATTAACTACGTTGTTGCTATATACGACACAGGAAGCAAAGACTAGGGAGATCCTTGAGAGGCGACTGATAAAAATCTAAACTTCAGCGTTCATGACGCGTGGATTCAAACGCGCGATTGGTGACGGAAATACCGAGTAACCGGCCCAACGACGCTTGCGAGGGTCCACATGGGACCGGTTAGTAGCGACGAACTGAAGAAGTGGTAGAAGACCACTAGGACTTTTCGGGATCGGCTTATTCATCGTTAGCCCAATTCCTCTAGTACCTATTGGTATGATTCGGAATTATGGTGTCATCACACGCCATAATACGATTATATAGACCCTTGAAATCGCTCAACCGTTCTCAGAACCTTCAATCAATTATCTAATTCTATTGGGCATATTCGTTACTAGCCAGTACATCAATTCCTCATCCTGACAAGTAGAAATAGTCTTGTAGCATGTGTATGGTGGTCGTATTGCTGTGGATTTATGTGGGTCGCGATCCAGTGATCTAGTTACAGGACTAACCCTAATGCATGAATGGTGCGTATCAGGATGACAGGACAATACCATGAGTACAGGGGATCCAACATTTCTTGATGTATTCGTGGTATATCACGAATATTACCGTAATTGCAGTTACCGGCCTTATGAACCTATATTTGCCATGCCGCCCTGACCATGCGGAGCCTACCTAGTTTTTAGCTTAACGTCGATCGCACCAGTTTTGTGGAACCCAAGTGCTCCCCCCCCTTCTCTCCACCCCAGATTTTCCCTTTTTTTTTTTTTTTTTTTTTTTTCGTTTTCCTATCTACCTCGAAACCCATGAAACTGCTGCACTGGGAATATGGTATTTAAATATGCCTCAATCTTACTCGATAAATATGTAATTCAAATACATATGACAATGGTGGCATATTTCGGGTCAGGGCTAGTCTTCTATTCAGTTCAAGGGAAATGGCTATAAAAGTGAACGATAACCGGAACAAGCTCACATCGGACTCATTTTCGATCTTGCATTCTAGCTAGTATCCATATAGAAAGAATTGATTGCTGTGCGAGCAGATCGAAGACTGTCATTCAGGTTGCCGATTTCTTTCTTGATGAGGCTAAGACGGAACATCTCAATTGCTTCTGTGACCTCGCCATGTATACTCATCGTCGCACCGACTTGTCGAATATTTTCACAGCTTTTGTGAAATTTGCGGAAGCCCAGCACCACTGCACTTTGTTGCAGGGATTCACTATTGAAAATCAAAGAAACAAAGTCTCTTTTTGAACTACCCATAAGCACATCTCGTCAGAATGCCAGTTCACCTCTTTTAATTGCCTTAAGTTGTGCACTTCGACCAAGGCAGGTTTGCGTGGGGCATCAGCGCTTACAGGGCGATCTCCATATAGTCCACTTTCTCCTTTCCTCTTTCAATGAAACCATAGAGCGCGGTCGAGCTACTCTTTCGATCTTCTTCCTCATCCATCTCCAACAACTGGGAGAAGACTGTCATATCAAGTGCTCCCTTCAGCTTGATGTTGAGTTCATTTTTTTCCATGATCTTTTGGGAGGTAATTAGTTGATAAGGTAAACGCCAAATGAATGAGTAGGCTTGCCTTTGTAGCTCTGTGCTATGGAATGCTAGAGTATAGTATTCACAGTGCAGAAATCTCATGAGTTTTGGAAAGAAACCACAAAAACGGAAACCACAAAAAAAGAAACCACAAAAAAAGAAACCACAAAAAAAGAAACCACAAGCAGTCTTGGGGGTTTGGGTGGGGGTGGGGGGTTCCACAAGACTGGTGCGATCGAGGTAAAGCTAAACTCAAGCTAGGCTACGTATCGCCACGAGGACTTCATCGGCGCAGTGCCGGAAACTGCAGTTACGGTAATTTTGATGATCTACCAGAAAGACATTAAGAAAAATGTGGGATTTTCTTTGACCATATTGGGTTTAGCGCTAAGTGAGTGGGGCGCTAGAAAAGAAGACGTGAGTGTCAAGGGGTTGATCTGCTTTCGAATTTTACTGTATACTGATTCGGTCGTTAATTTATCTAAGAAGGCCTAGATGGTCCGTAACTATCGTGGTTAAGCCTTTGGAGTCGCGGGAGGCATACTTATCATTGTCGGCCACAGCATCCTTAACTTTGCGAGGGAGGGTTGAAATGACAGATGATGACGTAAATAGGGTGTTTCGAAATAAGTTCTTATTCGATAGATAGTTTCCTCTGAAATGTTATACTTCGGGATCATGCTGAGGTTTTATTTTACCAGAGCGCTTATTCGGTTCTCGGCCATGTTCTACATCCATCAATCAAACAAAAGATCGTCCTTTTTGCAGATTCCTTGTGACGCCATAACGAGGATCATCTTATAAGAAGGCGAGCAATTCTCTGTGGTTGGATATCATACCCGACATGTCTTAACGAAAAATGCCATTCGGACCAATGGAATGTGGCGTCAGTATTTTAGACTATTGAGATCTCATAGTTCATGTGATTGGTCGGACAAAAGAGCCGTGCATTTTGTATCTCGGGACAAACAACTTCGTAGGCTCTCGGCCTTTAGTTCCACCAATACTCAGCTTTTTGAGGACAAATCGCTTGAAATACTTTCAAAACATAGTTAAATGTTACCTATTGCTTCGATTTGTCATTCAATATCTATGGTAACCGCGTTTATCTTCAAATCAAAAACCCCAGGAGGTCATTTGCCGTTTGAACTCCCGGTCGCACAGCTGGTGCAGATCTTATTAACATCAGTGGTGGCTGTCTATCCCGAATTTTTTGTTTATTCTGACGGGTTAGGAATCCATTTTACATTAATAAATAACAGTTAATTTTATCCCTTCTCCAATATTTGCTGGATGAAGCACAGTCCAACATATTATATGACACACATGGAACGTCATCTTTCCGAAATGTACTGCAAATGCGAAACAAAGCTCGAGATAACATCTTCTAAACGGGACTGCGACCTTCGCATATTAGTTGCTCATAACAACATGCTACAGAGCCTGGCACAAGCTTTTGTCCTCCAACAGGATGGACCTAAAATCCCCTTGAAGTTCGAACCGGAGTCGGCCTGTTCGGAGCCCATTGATTATCTATCGCCATTGCTATGTTCGGATTTGTCTAATGAAAGGAAACTGCGGTCATATGAAGAGGACGAAACACATCCAGACTGCCCAATTATTCAACGACATACCAAGGAATATCAAGCAACAACTTCTGCCAGTACGTAATTCCTGCAGTCCGTTAGTCACAATGCAACGGCTCTGAGTACTGACAGAAGGTACATTTCCGGCTAGCCTTTCTATAGTTTACCTCATAGTTTGTCCCTATGTGAAAGCAAATATCTGCCTGGGTGGCTTTCGAACGGCATGGCTCTTCTGTCTGCACAATAAGCTGGAGGTACGCCGCGTTCGGAAAGTGGCACTATGCCAGCGGCAGCGAAGCTAAGCTATGGCCAATTGGGGTGGGGAGCATGCGAAGCATTCAGCTATCTACGAGGGAGCGTCGGTCCAAATTGCTTCTTAAAAGCCTGAACTAAAGAAGCTATTAGATAGTTGTTACCGGCGAGGAAGGTAAAATCAGTGTCATCGGCCTGAGGCACAGTTGAGCATCAAATGATTTCCTCTATTTCGGAGCAAAATCCTTTAGCGCTACTGAATCCTGTGATTTGAGATTGGTCTCGGTTGTTTCAATGAAATGTGTTTCCTTTTTTCTGCTGGAAATCTCTGAACAGGAACGCTAAACCTGCCGCTAATCTTTGAAGAAGCTACATTTGACCCTGCCAAGCCCGACTACGTCATTTTTTTTTAATTCTCATCAGTAACAATGTGCCACCAAGATGTGGATAAATCCTACCGACGTCTTTTTCATCCGTTGTGTGGTAGAGCCTAAGCCCGGGGTTCGCACCTAACTGGTACCGTCGACCTTGACTGATAGGTTCGGATCTGGCCCCAACCAATCCGAGAGTGATTTACATGTGCTACTTGGATCTGCTAAGCACACAAATGGCTGTCGTTTGCCCGCATATCCCAACCAGTTGAATGAAGCCTCTGTAAATGTCCCCAACTTCCGTTGGATAATGCAAATCATGCTAAAACACCTTCTGACCTAGGCTACGTATTGTTCGCATCCGACGTTCTCAGCGTTTCGGGGTGGCTCAGCAGCTATGAAGCCTTTATCAAATTTAAGCTCACGGCCTGTCTGGATTGAATTTCTAACTTTCCCAACTTCTTTGTCAATTGATCATGATTCCACACAACGAAATTTTGATGAGGTAATGCAACTATATCTTAGGATTAAAGAATCCCCTTCCTATATAAAGATTGTTGTTGCCGGTCGGGAGCTGTAGGCATTATTCGATTAGTTACATAACGTACCGCATCTGCCTCAGGATACCACCATGATGGCGGAGATGCTGCACAATCTCCCTCTATTCTTCGAGCTTCTCAGAGACTATGTCAACTCTCCACTTTTAACCTTAGGATGCTTTTTTGGAGGGCTAACTATATCAATAGCTGGACCTCAATGACCTTGCGGTACTGGCTCGGACATGCCGTGAATGGAAAAATTTAGTCATCCCGCATCTATATGACACTATCCAGTTTCATAGCCCAGGATGCTTTGGGGAAAATGACCAACTTCAGCTGAAACTGGATACCTTCGGAGATCCACGCTGTACCAACCTTCAGTATACTCAGCGGGTATTAGTCACAGGGTCCTGGTACGATATCTACCATGAGATCGACTCGAATCTGGGCTCCCAAAGTCTACTTTCACCAGCCGCGAGAATGTTAAGCAATATCATCGCTTCATGCGTTATACGAATGACTAATATAAAGGAATTTATGTACAAGACCCTTAGTTATAATTTTGTACCCATCGCACGATCCATTGTTATCCTACAGTGTGAATACCACTAACTCTGTTGAACAGCTGGGACCTAGCAGTTTCCCCGACTCAACATCTCGTCACCATCCTGATTTTCACATCGACGCTACAGAGCTTGCAGCTGCGGCTAGGTACTGACAGCACGCCCTCACCTTACTTCCACCCACCGATAAAGTTTTGGCCTCCGATAAATGTCAGGGCATTGGTCCTCATCCAGATCGATGATGAGTCGGTCCTACGATCCATAGGGTCGGTTCTTCGAACTGCCACTCGCCTGAGAGAATTGACCATGTGGGCTGATGGCGATTACATGCTACGTTTCAGTCAAGTCTGTAACTCTTGGTGTGGCCAAGTACCATTCAAGCTAACAGCCCTGGACCTCAGGGGATTTGTGGACTTGGGACGGCCGTCATGTGCGCTCTGGAGCCTGCTTTCGCCGGTTGATTTGAAAATTTTGACCTTGAATACCAGTTTGAATGTCGATTCTCTCGATTTTTCATCATTCTGGGAGACTTCAGTTGCCGCTGATCTTCGACCGAGAACATTATCTACGAACCTCGTCATGAATGGGTTAGAGGGCTTCATACAATCATTTAGTGGTTTAGAAGCCTTCAGTATCACATCACCGAATACTGCGTGTGTGCCAGAGCGTCTAGATCTTCTCCTAGATGCTTTAGTGAAACTACATTCGGCGACGCTCAAGGTCCTCTCAATCGATCCAAAAGGAGCACTTGTCAATCACCTGTTGGACGATGCATCGCTGAATCAAATTTCGAAGCACTTTCCTAAAATGGAAGAATTGCGATTTGGAATATTTGAAGCTATTTCAGTAAGAAACTGTTTATGATAAACCCCTTTTCAGACTTTGCTGATCGCTCCTTAGGTGCATGCTATCCAAACAGTACTGAAATTTCCCAATATCCAACTGCTCTATATCACCTTAAGCAGAGGTTCCACAGAGTGGATCCTTGTTGGCCAGGAACAGTACCTGTCACAAATGTTGCAAGTTGGAATGGCTCAGAAGCTGAAGTATTTTATTTTTGATGATGGTCCTTTGTTTAAAGTTATTCGGAAACCGCTCCGAATAATGAAAGAAAGACTACCACTTGGTATGATTAAAGATACTTTCCTTCTTGGAGACATGGTATTTGGGTGGAATAGAGGAGAACATTAGATATTCAAAATCAGGTTGAGTATCTATTGGATATTAAGTATATTTGCTATACTAAATATCATACTGGTCACAAGGTAGAAAGTAATAACACCGTTTTATTGTACTGCTCCCGGCTGCATCATATGCAATATGCTCATTTGAATTCTCAATTAATATCCAAGACATCAGGGTACGATTAAAGGGGCCTGAGACTAATGCAGGGCACGTTTCCAACTCTAGAGCAGCCCCTTTCCACCTCAATGGTTTTTCTGTTTGCGCGATTGTTGGTTGTTTCAGACAGAATTAATCAATTACTCCATTCAAACGTACATGTTTTCATCTGTAAGCAAACACACTAGCCTTTTTTGGGTCAATTTGGCTCTCAAGCCTTTACTAGGTCAGTCGCTGCGGCAATTTGTTTGATGGTGCTCCATGATAGCACCATGATCCGAGTTTGTAATCGCGACGGAGTTGTTATAATAGTGCTTCGTTCGGACTTGCAATATCCATGTCGGCAGCCTAAACTGACTCGAAATTTGTAGGAGAAGCATTATTCATGCTGCACTGCATCAGCCACTTCACTAGGCAGTAGCATGGTGAGCTACTGCAGGTACAAATCGCCGGTGCCTTCATAGCTTGAATAATTATCACACTTGTACAGTACCCCAATCCACGGCTTCAACTCAAAGCAAGGGGTCAGCCTAAGTGAAGCCATTCATCCATACTATACTTAGGGTAACAACTATTTCTTCGTAAAGGCGCTTTGAGATTTATTTCCGGGGGTGCTGCTTTGTTCCTGATCCGCACTCGTATCTCATCCATTCTCTCCCAGTGTTGGTGAGGTACATTATCATCAGCGAACAGCACTGTTGATAAACCCAGGCTTCGCATTGTTGCAACCTGTAGAGTCACTCCTCACTCTGCGGGCATATGATGACACGCATACTGAGAGATCCTGATAAAGGTTGACCCTCATTGGCTCGGTGGATAAATCTGCTGATGTAATCGTACCGTATTAGATACCATGACGTAACGGGGGCAAGAGTAACCGCACCTTCAAATACAGCGGCGCATGTCATGCTTTTATTGTCTTTAGCAGTACCTGTGGTTTTATGCTCTCGACCAAACCGACTTCTGTACCCGAGATTGACGACTTTAAATATGAACTACCGTGTGGAGATGCCGTATAAGCTTCCTATTCCACGGTTACGACGCGAAAGACGGGAAAGCAGTGGGCGACGAACCAGCCAGGCTTGCGACTCTTGTCGACAACGAAAAATCAAATGTGATGGCAACCGGCCTACCTGCTCTTTTTGTCATGCCCAGGGCTTAAACACCTGTTTTTATTCGGATGCCAAAGCTGTCCGACAGCGAAAAGACCTAGAATTGATGAAAAGGAAGATTGAGAACTACGAGGAGATGTTTCGAAATATTTTAGGAGAACTCGAGGTATCAACCGCTGACAAAGTTGCAAAGGCGCTCAAGGTATGTATTTTCCCTTAAATCGGCGATGTTGGAATCTTGAAGAAACTAACGAAAGCATCTACAGAGCCCGTGTGGTGTGAACTCGGAAGAGCATCAGAACAGGCCGTCTAGTACCTCGTCTTCGTCCTCGATCGGCTCTTTGGACGCAATGGATGTTGTGAAGGAAGACCTTAATCGGAGCGAAAAAAGCAGGGCGACTGGGCACATGGGGAAGAATTCAGAAGTTACGTGGATGCAGCGCTTAGACTCAGAAGCTACGAAGCACAGTGACAAAGAAGCCCCTCGAAATATGACACCACGGCACCAGCTTCCAATTGACGATTCAATTGCATCAATGAACTACAACCTCGATTATCAAACTATCTCAAATTTGAAGGTAACCAATGCTTTCATCTTGCCACCAAAATCACTAGCGGATCAATTATTCCAAATTTATCTGACGAAAGTTGACATTTCTTTCCCATTCATTCGACGGGACCTCTTTATTTCTCAGTACGACCGCTGCTACTCCGGGGGCCTTATAAATCCCGGCAGAAAATGGTTGGCCATTTTCAATATGATCTTCGCCATCGGGTGCGCTATTTGTCGACTTTCTGAACAGAACCTACAGCAGGAGGCAGATGAGAATCTCTTTTTGGCACGGGCTAAATCTCTGAGCCTTTCAGAGAGCGTTATCTACGATCATGATGATCTACAGCAAGTACAGGCCGAAGCCCTGTTGGCGTTCTACTTCCTAGTCGTATCACAGATAAATCGGTATGACGAGTCCTTTCTATATTGCTCTGGATTTTAACACTATCTCAGATCATGGAAAATAATTGGCATTGCGGTACGCTCGGGTATCGCGCTAGGGCTCAATCTTCAGCAAAAGACAGGTGAGCATGATTTGAAATCAGACGAAGCTCGGAAGCTACTGTGGTGGTCGATTTTCTGCCTGGAGAATGTTCTTTCTGTCATGACCGGGAGAATTTCCTGCCTCGGAAGTGCTTTCTGCTCCACACATCCGCCACTTCTCGGGCCTGTTCTGGAGTCCGCAAGACCGGACATCCACCCATCAACCAACACACCCCAATGGACCATAGTGTTGGGAAAGAGGGAGATGGCTTTCCAGAGAAACCTTTTACGGTCTCTGACTCCCAGTCAGCCCCTCTACCTTTTCTATATGGTAGACCTGTCTTTGATCGCCCATACCATCACTAATGAAGTATATGCGATCGACAGTACCCGGGCCGGCCGAGCGCGAGTGGAAAGCCGTATAGAATTTTATAGCAAGCAGATGGATTACTGGATATCGACTTTGCATCCTTCGTTCAGTTTCCAAGACAGCCAAGGCAATTTACAACTGAGAATCAGCTCGCCCTTTCAAATTTCTCTCGCCTTGAATTACTACAGCGCCCGCATCGTGCTTAATCGACCTTGCCTCAACAGCCATGTATTTGGAAAGAAAAGCGGCTCACAGCCTTTTCGTTCCCGATTTGCCAATACCACCGCCCTTAACTGTCTCCGTGCGTCCTTGGCTGTCATGGCACTACTACCAGATCAACCAGACTTGGTTTGGTGTTATGAAGTCCTGCAGTGGTGGGATCTATTACATTTTCTTACTCAGGCAACTGTAGTATTACTTCTCGATATTTCAATTGGTCCAATACCGACGAGGTCAGGTGAAAGGACGGTTTCTGTTGAATCGTCAGACCTGGTTTGGACGAGGACGAAGAAAGGTCTTTCTTGGCTGCATTGTCTGGGAAGGACTTCAGAGGCTGCTCGACGCGCATTCCAGTTCTTCAGCAGCTGTATTGGTCGCTTAGCTCCAGCGAATGATCTCGACCTGAGCGGCATCCCTTCGACGTTTGGATCCTTCCCAACCTCCCGCGATCCGAGCCTTCCATGGCTTCGAGACTCTCCGGAAAAGAATGCAATGGCGCCTCGGCAAAAGTCACAACCCTTGAATGATCAGGAGTTTTTAAAGTGGATGGATTCACGCAATTTGTCTATGTCTGGCAATATACACGACGACACACGATCCCAGGGTTCAGAAGAGACTATGTCTTCTTTGAGTATAATATCAAGTACCTCAGCAGTGCTCGACGCTGACACAGATATGTCGGAGCTCATCTCAAACTCTGATACCAATGTCGACGATTTGCTGATGTCCATGGTGGGCTCTAATGCGTCCTGGACCGTGAGTTCCGGCAGCCTTGAGTCTCTGGAACAATTGCATACATCAGAAACATATCTACAGTAGCCAGTGCTATCATGAAGATGACGGCGCTGACTGCGCGTCTATCATCCTTTTCCCCCAAGTGATACAAAAGTTCCTGCATTGAATGAACCGCCACCGTATTTAAGAACCTAAATCTCGCCATTCGCGGCTTTTTACCACCGTAGCAGATCTATGTCAATTTGCTTTTGTTACACACACACACAATTCATTAACGCCCGGCGGCTGAACCGAAAGGGCAACTATCACTAATCTACCAGTACATGCATGTTTGGGTATACGCCGTGTCTGCTTGGAGCCCATACAGGCTTTTGTTACACACACACACACACACAATTCATTTACGCCCGGCGGCTGAACCGAGAGGGCAACTATCACTGATCTAAATGTACATGCCTTAGCTAATGCTGTGCCTCTTTGGAGCCCACACAAGATTCCTTTCACTATATGTCATCTCAGATGTCAATATCTTAGCGGGTCCTTGTGGGTTAGTGTTCGGTTAGTAGACTTGCTTGAAGGCGCTTCTCCAAGTGTTCAACATCCTATCCTCGGCAGTTGAAGCGCGTCTACCGTCTCTGGTACAAGGTAGTTGGTGGGGGTTAGGTTGGGGTAGGGTTAATCTGTGTTGGTCGACACGGTTAAGCTGCGTCGAGTCGGCCCGTGGCGATTGCGAATCGTAATGTGGCTCGCACTGCTTCCAAATTTGGCTTCCAGTTCTGGCCATCCAAAGGCGATTTTCCACCAAGGAAAAAGGATGTGTTGCATCGGTGAGTGTGGGTACATTGCAGCATCTCCGTTCGGTGTGTGGTCCACCTCTGACATCGAAAGAGGAAGTGGTCCACGGACTCTCTTGCTTGTCCACATGCACACTGATCCGTCTCCGCGACGTTGATTCGATAGATGTATCCATTAAGTCTAGCCATCCCAGCCCGGAGTTGGGCCAGCACGCTCGCTTCTTTCCACGATAATCGATTATACAACTGCCGGGTATGTTTTCCTGGGAGTGCTGCATCCACTCGTTTGGAGTGTTTCCCTACATGCTCTGGCAGACAACTTTTGGGGACTGCTTGGGATCGTGAGATGTTCAGTGTTGTCGACTTCATCCGGGGGACCTGCGCTTGCGGGGTAGCATCCTCTTGTGTGGCGGCCCGAGCCTGCTCTTTTGCTAGGCCTAGAAGTATACCTTCGCTGGTCGGGACCCAACAGATGCTGATGCGGTTCTCATGCTTCCGTAATCTTTTGATCAGCTTGTATGTTTGCAAGATGTTTTCCTGGCCCGATTGTTGTCGAGGATTCTTCAGCGTGAGTGCCGCCGCTTTGTTGCTCGTGAGCAGCGTGACCCTGCACCGTTTCAGTCCCCGTAGCGTGCCCAGTGCGTATGCCATTGCTGCCAATTCGGCAGAGTATGGGTTCTGCTCAGTTCTGGCACCCAGTGTGACGGAGAAAATTTTGAGCCTCGATTTTCGATATCGAGGTGGCTGCTTCTCAATCGCCACGCCAAATCCTACCATTTCATTCCGCGCCAAACTGCTGACCACGATTCGCATAACTCCGCCCGCTTCGGTCTGTGTCTCCGGTACATCATGACTATTGCTCCGCACGCGTTCCTCCCATGGTGCCAATATAAATGGATTGATGGTCTCCAGTGTTTCCATAGTGATGCTTTTCAGCGCGTCTGCGACCTGATACAATGGCGAACGGTGGTATCTTCTGAATTTCTTGATCTGAGCAGTACTCCTGCGGAGGGGATTGGTTGATGGTAGAGTGTGCATGTCTGTCCACATCTTCGCAGCTCGTCTCCAGAGCCGGTGTTGCACCGTGGCGATGTGAGCCTCCACTTCCGCTACGCTGGTCGCAACTGTGAGGAATGTCCCGACAATCGCTTGCGCTCCTATCCTCTGCACTCTATTGATCGGCCCGATGTTCTTATTCTTGAATGCGTGCATCCAGACATTGGAGGCATAGTTCACCACCGGGGCTAAGAGACATAAGTAGCTTCGGCAGGCCTACTTGCATAGACCACTACCCCAGTTTTTCACCCAATAAACGAGGCTTCTGGAATTTTGAGGTGGAAAAAGCCTCTCACCCTGGGTGTCTCTCAGTTTGCTCCTTAAGCATACATCACGGGCCAATCAACTAGGACGACACCGCTTCAATCAGACCTAGCTGATATCAGGTCCTAGCCTGCATTGGGATACATATCCGCTGCCCGTGGATCCAGAAAAGATAGTCATATACGACCTTTCCGATTGGCGAGAACGCCTTGGTAGCTTCTTTCATGTTGTCTTTGAAAACAGTCGAAGTGGTCTCGTTGACTCCCTGGCAGATAATTGCAGGGCCCTAAAAATCCAAAACTCAGGATGAGTTGACGGCGGCCCCTTCCTTGTTTAGATAGCTCACCATCGTTCCACTCACTCATTTTCGTGTCTGCTTCCATGCTGTAAGCCAACAGTCAGCAGTTCGTAACAGGTGGAATGTCTAATATCATAGGTCGTAATCTCCTGAGAGCCCAATTCTTTCGCATACCCTCCACTTGAGTATTTGGGATCATGTCATAATGCCTCCATATCTCCATTATTTAGTGTCTATCTCAGACAAGAAGTCTCGCTTAAGATAAATGTATGATTTATACCAATTCAAAGAGCCTATATTGGATGAGTCAAATTGACTGTGCCTGGTTTGATTTTGCGACATTATATCAGCGGCATCATAGACAAGAAGACTTAATTTAAAGTAAAGCGATTGTATATTTTCGTCTGCTATCCTCGTTCTAGTATTTGACCTGGGCCCCTCACCAACTATTTATATTGTTTCCTTGGAATATCCTCCTAATTGAAAGTACCACCTCGAGCAACAACTGATGAATCCACCTCTCTTCCAAGATCCCGAGCAAGATACCAAGAGTTGGTGACAGAATTCTCAAGGAGCAACAACCTAACATAAGCTTAGACATTAGTTTGACAATTATGTTAACTATGGTATTAATAGAACTGACCTTAAAGGACTTGAAAGTCGGGTGGCTTATGAACTGCGCGGCCATCACACAATCACCATTTGTGGGCATGCCATAAGAGTCGCCCTGGCAGTCAAGGCGATCATAGACGTAGATATTCCAGCCACCACCCTTTCCATTGAAAGAAAGGATGTCACTGTTTTGGTTCGTACAACCCTGGGGGTCACTGGTGATCAAGGAGACGTCCAATCGACCATCGCAGTGCGCGCCCTCATACAGATTAAGCTCATAATCTCCCAGAGCAGCAGCAGAAGAGGCTGCGAAGAGGATAGAGAAAAGAGTAGCCGAGACACGCATAATGAAAGATAATTGAGGAGGTGCGGAGGATAGCGAATGCTTGATATTTTTGGAAAGGTTGGGTTCAGACGGAAGTATTTATATCTTTCCTCCACAGTGAGTCTGTGTAGGTGGTCGGAAAGAGCGCTACAAAAGGAAAGGATGACCGGAAATTTGGCCCCTAGACCCCCTCGAAGGAATTGACTTAGGCAAGAAATGTAACTCTCCAGATGGGTACTCCGTAAGTGGGTCAGGATACAATAATCCAAGGTACGTATGTAAAGAAGTTATAGTTAGTTCTTTGGCCAACGGAAAAGCGTCTCGCACCAGAAGCGGAGCATTTTACTTTTTAGCACCCTAATCATTATCAGGTTTGTTGCCTCGTATAGCGCCTCCGAGCAGCTCGATATCGTATGCGGGAACATCAGCTGTATAGCACGAAAAACAAAGCTACAAATGTGCATCCCAGGCTGTAGAGTGAATGTATGCTTAGGTGGAATTCACCAGCGCATTATACTTAATTTCTGCTGTCACAAAGGACGACATTGCACATGTTTATCATGTTTTTGGGATCGTTGTGCTAAGATACTTCCCAAAATAACGCATATCTGGAATGAGACCCTTAACTCGTCACATAGAAACATGGGGGCTGAAAAAAAGAGGATCCCTATACCCGCCAAGATTTGTCCTTGCCCAATGCAGTTGGCAGCGCGAGGTTAGTGTCACTTTTAGCCCCCAATTCTGCACTCAATTACCTCAGAGTAAGACATGATTCTTGGCTAAATGGTCACCCCATCAAAACTCTAAAATTTGTGTAATGCGTTTGTTGCATAGTCTCCAAACTTGGGCGTTATTCAGTATGCCAAGATTCAGGCAAGGGTTTAACCAAAGATTAGTACTCAAGCTCTAGGTAAATCTTCAAGTGGGCCTTGCCAAGACCTGAGATAATCGAAGAAAACAAATCGTGCTGTGCGAAGGGAAAACTATATGCGGTACCAGCGAAGCAGTAACTATCTCCAGGTTTGATTCTTACCTCGTGAGGGTTAGTCGTAATCTTCAGGTTTGGTGGAAAAGTGGACGAGCAGAAGTGTCTGTCCCTAACAACGCCTTTCAACGATCGGCTTCAACAACTTTCACGGTGAATGCCCTCAAATGCTTTCGTCCGCACTCCTCTCGATGACTGCCTGGAAATGGTACTGTAAACATTTTTGTATGATCTCGCTTTGAGTAATTTATTCGACCAAAATTTTAGTCAGCTAATATTAATCTGATAAAGAGAGAATAGCTTACCTTTCCTATTCCCCGTCTGTGCTACGGAACGCGCTTCTGTATGCTCTAAATTTGGTAGTTAGACGACACGCTGTCATTCGCCAATATACAGTACAGTAAGATCAAGCGGGAGAACAAGGATGCTGTACAAGATGAGACTGTACAGATCAGGAAGCAAGCTGCGGCATCGGAATTAGCTCCAAGATGTCTCTACAGAAAATCAAGTTGATTTACAATCAGCTCGGCTCCATGTTGTATACATAGCCTCATATTTCCCTCAAAACTAGTAACACGATTCATACCTCTAAAAGACAGAAGTCCATTCTATTGAGTCAGATTGCTATTCTGAGCAGTCTTCTCCACGTGGCAGACTAAAGGTGTTAGAGCATTCGAGTCATTCACGGCACCGATTGGCCCATTATTTCTTAGCATATATCATTAGTATCCATAGCATCCAATAATAGCA